AAAGAGAACGAACACAAACGTTCCTGGGTAGGCTTCCTAGTTAGGTCCTATTATCTCTTTATTATTCAACCTTAGCCTTCTACATTCCAGGAACAAATTTTGACCATATTTTGAAAATGAAATATTGACAAGAAGGTGTGACTATTAATTAGAGACACCACATAATTAGCAACAACAAATCCACTTACTTTTTTCTCCTTCTCATGATGTTTATCCTGAGAGTGAGAGGAAGAATCACTTAAACTTTGATCATATGACCTATTAGATCCCCGTTTGCTCTTTTTCTAAAAAGAGAAAGTATATTTACGTACGTGAAAAGGAACTATTTTAATGAAGGAAAGGTATAAAGTATTTCAAGTGACAAAATGCCTTACTGCTTGACTCATGAAAAACTAGCAAAAATGACTGACAAAGTCAACAGAACCATCCAAAACACAGCAGAATAAAACCTACTCTTTAATTTAACATTATGAATTTATAATTTGCAAACATTTTTTCCACAAACAAAGAGCCTGTACACCATCCTTTAACAATAATGACCTATACCAAGATAAGTTGTCAGAAGATGAGAATGTAAACAAAACAAAGATTCTTCTCAAGTAAATATCATGTTAAACCATGGTGCTGACACTGCCATTAATTTTATACGTAGAACGGGAAGAGATGCATACTTGAGGCACGCTTGCTTGCTTCAAGTGCATTCTCAGGAGCCAGCCTGCTGACTTCGTAATTTATCACCCAGATAAATTAGTTGCCTGCAGTTTCTTACCAGTTATGAAACCAAAGTTAAAAAATAATTTTAAGAACAGTATACAAGGATGTCAGGGCCAAATCTATGTTTTCACTAGTTACAGACACTATTATAAAGTATATTACTACCTGTAAGTCCTACTCAGGGACCAAGACAACTCCCCTACTTTGTTGTGGCAAAATCACCTAAAATTTCTGGAAGATCACATTATAACCCAGATGGCTGTATAAATATACTACAGAAAACAATCAATAGTTCTTAATGTTAAAACTCCACATGTACTATCGTACATAATACGGTAAAATGAAAAAACTACATTTTCTAGGCATTAGTGACAATTATGGCATCACTTTCAGCCCATCAGAAAACTGTGTGTGGCCTATATTCTCTAGCTTTTTCCTTTTTTCACAATTGGTCTTTGTGTTGTAGTCTCCAAGTGGAAAATTACAGTGTTAAATAGTAACATTTAAAATATGGTAGATGTGTGTTGTTTTGTTTTTTATAAAAGAACTACTCATTTAATATCAACATCAATTTATCTCCAATCACATCTACATTAAAGCAGTAATACCAAATTCAATTGCTATAACCATGAATTGAGTCAGGGCTTGTTCTCACTACTTTAAAAGCTTCATTTATTTTTACTCACGTCCCAAGTTTAATACATGTTTAAGGCAATGCACTTCAGTTTTTCCACAAAATAAACTTGTTGGGTAAGCCCCTATGCCCTGCTGATCTTGATGAATTCACTTCATGGTAAAACTTAAGTTTCTTGATTTCACTGTTTTTACCTTGGGATAGCCAACAGGTATTAGTTTGCCACAAGACAGAAGACTCAACATTTTTTGCAGCAAGACCTTTAGCAGTGAATTTAATCTTAACATGTTAATATTTTTCTGAACCCACACATACATGCCATACATGCACATACACTGAACATTAACAGGTATGTAGAACTAGCAATTCAGTGACTGGAAGGGGTAACGACTCAAAGAGCCTAATCCAAAATCCACTGACAGCAAATACAGTGTTTTCCACTGATTTCAGAGAAATTTGGATCAGCCCTGAAAGAATTCCCTTGATGTAGGACAAAAGCAAACAGCCAGGGGCTTCAGCTGGCTGTTAGAGCAACTGGAACAATGCTAAAAGAAGAACAGAAGGAAGAGAGAAGAAACTGGGGACTGATGCATCTTTCACTACATGGGTGCCAAAAGGAAAGATTTCTTAGATACTTCCAAAAGAAAATCCACATGTCTGGTGGCCAACTAATCAAATTAGAAGAAGGAAACATTACAGGAACTTAATACAATCAGAAGGTCATTTTGAATAATTAAAGTCTATTACCAAGTTTAAAAAAAAAAAAAGACATCTGTCTAAACGGGATCCCTATTTTTCTCTGACAGAGATAATATATTTCAAAGTAGCCATTTATAATACTGTAATCCATTCAGGTAGTATTTTACAATCATTAATTTAATGAAGAACAAACATTTTTCATGCTTTGTCTAATTTTTATTCACTTTTTAATATAATGTACACCTTAACTTACATAAAACACTATTTTAAAATGTTATTAGTAACTCAATGATTGAGTGAAAATTAAAGTTGGTGTCATTTCCTTACCAGTTTACTAAAATGGTATTTACAGTAGCCACAGTACTGGACATTATCTGCACCATTGCCCTCTTCTTCACAAAGCAGTCCTGCAAACTGAGCACTGGGGGGGGGGAAAAAATTAAAAAAAAAAAAAAAAAAATCAAGATCATCCAAGACAAATTTTTTTTTCAAATGATATTGTATCCAAATGATCTCATTTCCAAAGATATAAATTATTCTCAAAGTAATGCAGACACCTTTTACAACTCTCTCACTAGCCACTAGACACTCAAGAAAGGTATACACACTTATACATATACTTTAAGCCTTTGGGAGCTGCTGGGTGATAAACATTTGGGGAAGAGAGGAACTCAAGCAACTTAAATGAAACTTTCTGTTTAAAACCTTTCTAAACTAAAGAATAAATATTTTAATAGACCTCTGCAGAAAACTATTCAAGAATCAGACCTGTCCTCCTCTGAGCTGACAATAAAATTACATTAATAAAATTATTTTAAATAAAACCAAAAAGTAATGTAAACCAACAATATATGGCTTGGTTTGTTAAGCTGGACAATGTCAGGTTAATTTAAAAATGAATAAGACTCCTTGCTTGCATTAATAATACCTTATTCTATTCAATTTTAAAATCAAATCTACTTTTCAGCATTTGTACTACCGATTTATCTCATACAATCAACTTGGAACTTGAAAATCAACTGTTCAGTTTCATTTTCCACTTCTCTTTCATTAAACTCAGTGATACAATTTTACAGTTAAAATGCTGCAAGGAAATGTGTAAATAAAACCAAACCCCCCCAATTTTCAAATTGAAAAAAGAAAACAGTATCTTCTATTAACATAGTATGATCTTATCCTACGCTTTTCCCCCCCTAAATAAATGTATGCCCTTAACAAGTAAGGGCACACAATATCGCTTGGAGCCAAGTTTTCCTATGCTCAGTTTAACATATTAAAATATTTAGATTGATTCTAATCCCACTTTTCTCTTTTGGAGCTTTTTTATCAATCCAATACCCACAAAACTAGCTTTACATCTATTTTTTCAAGCTAGTGCATATTACTGCACGTTCCTTCAATTTTACTAATATTATGGGTGTCCCTCTAGTCTCAAATGTACGTAATACTAACCCTTTGACTAGGTATCATGCTATGTTGCATGAATATTTCACATCAAGTCACAACACACCAAAAAGCATAATAATTAAAATGAACATTCTGGGGCTTTTTTCTTTATGACAGCCTTAAAATTTGAAACTTGGAAGTTGGACAGGAAAAGAGAGAGAGAGAGAGAGAGAGAGAGAGAGAGAATGACCATGGAAGAGTAATTAGCGGTAGACAGTATAACTAAACACTTATGCAAGTGAAAAAAGCTTTAGACATGCAAGTAGTCCCTGTGAGAGTTTAATGGTTCTACTTGCATGGTTAAAGGTAGTCATGTTTAAATATTTTTAGGGGTAAGTCTATTATTTTTATGATGAAAGAAAACTTAAAATTGATCCTTTGCTGTAATAGAGGGGTGCTTACAGAAAAATGTAAAACTGAAACATTCTGCTCGTTTCTGGCTTAGTACAATTGCACATATATGCTTGATCCTGTCACTGACGATGTATAGAGATGCATAGAGACACATGGAAATCAGGGCCTAACCAGAGTAAATTGTAAGATAAAAGGCCTTAATGTCTGCCCATGAACAATTCAAATATCAAATTTGCCCTGAAGAAAGAGAAAAAAAAAAACATAATTCCATTTAGTTAAGTTAGTAAACGATATTTCCCAGATCTGACAAATATCACACTTGCACTGTAGACTGGCACAAAAAGATAAGTGACAAATGCTGAAACATAATGCTGCACTGTTAAAAGAAGGAAAATGCCAAGGAATTCATATCTAAACAATATGTTACAATACAGCAGGCTTATCTGAATTCAAAAAGCCCCAAATATTTACAATACAAGTTCCAGAACATTTTAGGTTGATGTTATTGAATTTTGTTGTGTATTTTAGCAAGTTATACAAAAGTTATCTTTTTGTTCCTGGAACTGGCTCAAGGTAAAAGCTCAAACAAGCTAAATTAAAAGAAACGATTGTTTCTTTCAGACATACACTGAAATATTTCTAGCATCTTATAAAATGCTGGCTGACATGGACCAATAAAACAATAAAACTTATTTATGAAATGTAGTATTGCCCTATCAAATTTGCCATATTTATGTGTTTACTCCTCCATGAAAAATGGCACCTATTGCAATAATACATAAAGCATTAAGCCTTCATTCCCACTTGGCCTACACCTCTACTGAAGTCCCTGCAGCTTGTGTAGACATACCCAACCTAGCTATCTTGGGTACTAGTTTGGCTACTGTTAGCTGTATAGCTGTACCCACATGAAACAGCATGGGGTAACCACACAGACACTCACCTGGCCTCTAAGACAAGTTTGCAGCCCACTCTGAATACCATGTTATCATGACTTAATTGTTAGCAGTACCCAAACAAGTTACCATATTTATTTCAATTATAAGACAATGTTTTTCCCCCGCAATAAGCGTGGTGGAAAAAACTCTTCATCTTATATTTGCATACCAGCAACCCCCAACTCCTTTAAATATGTTGGCTATCATTAAACTGCTGCTAGGAGCAGCATGTGCTCAGTCATGGAAACTAACTATGAAGTTGACTGAATACAACCCATGCTGAGCATGCCCATAAAACATATAGTCCATATTAGGCAAACACACTGATGGGAAACTTTTTGTTTTGTTTTGTTTTTTTGTGTGACCCTTAAAAAATGTGCCATTGCTCCCCCAGGAGGGAATGAGCACTGCAATACTAGGCCAGCACTCCGGAGGTACTACAATACCTGGTCAGCACTCGGGAGAGGCTAAACACCCTCCCTGGTAACAAAAAATGCTGATGTGAAAAGTGTGTGAATGTGTGCGCCCCTTAAAAAAAAGGCAGTTGCCCCCGCAGGGAGGGAACAAGCACCAGGCCTGGAGGTACTGCAATACCAGGCCAGCACTCAGGAGAGGCCAGACATCTTCCCCAATGGCAAAAACTGCTGATAACAAAAGTGTAGGTGTGTGTGCAGTTGTTCCTCCAGCGGGGAATAAGAACCCAACCTGGAGGTACTGCAGTGCCAGGCCAGCATCATAAAGGCCAGAGCTAGGCCTGACATCTTCCCCTTGATACCAAAAATGCTAATTTGATTTGAACCAAAAGGCTTTTTTTTTTTTTTTTAAAAAAGAATTTTTTAATGTTCCAGGCCAAATCAGCCAAATCAAATCCAAATCCATGAGTCAGTCCAGAACCATAAGTGGCCCTACAATGAGCAAACCTCCTCCATCCCCACCAGGGGCTTCAGATATTTCCAACATCTTTTGGCAGGCATCCTACATGCAGGCCCCAGGCTGGAGGCTTGGGGTTCAGATGCCCCCAAGTTTTGCCTGCCCTTAGCCATATATGGCTGCAGGAGCAATCTAGGGAGGAGCCTCCCATTTCCATAAAATGGGCATTAGGCCCCAACACCTCAGCGGGTACTAAACCACACCAGAAGAAGAGTTATCCCCAGGAACGCTTAAGGAAAACTGCCTTCTTGGACCCAGATACATGGTGTTTTGCCTGTCAGGTAAAGGCCAACCAAAAGGATAAGTTAGTACAGTTCAGCTGAATAAGATACAATGCCCATTGTGTTCAGTCCCCTTCAGCACCAACTCTTTTTCAAGTCATGGTAAGCCACTACATCAAATACATTTAAATTTTCCTTTCATTCTCAAAGCTGAGCAGTGCCTTTCTTTCCCATTTCCAATTATTCCTGTTTCTTCACAAACCTTAAATGTCTAGCAAACACTACCATAATTCTATGCAGCTGAGAGGCTCTGTCACCCCCTCTCTCAGCCTGTCACATGTGATTAATGTACCCCTCTATGGGGTAGAAGCAGACCAGGCAGCCCTGAACTTCATCTGCATATACATTTTGGAGGGTCTGATGACTTGACATAAGAATATCCAGTTCCAGTCATGAATGAGCAAGGGGCTAAGTATGTGGATCTTCTGGGGGGCAGAGGGATGGTACCTGGAGTACAGACACAGACACACACACACACACACACACACACACACACAGAGCAGTGCTGGGGTGTGGGGTCACCATGGCTTGAAATACTGTTGAATCTGCTGGGGGCCAGCCCAATGAACTATATGGTATGTTATGAACCTTTTGGCCCTGGACCAAAAGCATGTAGTTTGTGCTATGTATAACTAGGTATGAAAGTGTTACTCAAAAGTGTGTTTATAGAGCACCTGTGCTAAAAATTACAGCACTTTGCAACAAGTTAAATGCATTAATTCTAGACAAATTAAGTCTATTGCTATGTTTATTTAAAAGTCAGCATTTTTGGTCCCTTGCATTTCACATTAACAAGGAGGAGCGGGGGAATGAGGCCAGGCAATTACTACAGTTCTAATTCTGACCCCGAGTCTCAGCTGGGGCCAAAATCAGACCCACAGCAGTCTTCTGCCCTACTCTGCAGCATCTGCTCTCCCCTCTGTCCTTTCCCCCCCTTACTGTCACCCTCGCTTCCACGTTGTGCTCAGGGAAGGAATAGAGCCTGAGCAGGGTTTAACAGTATGTGGGGGCAGGAAGGCTGCAGGAGGAAGAAGTGTGGGGGAGGAGAGCAGAGGACAACAATACCACCTAATCCCCGCAGCCACTATTTTCCCTGCTGTAGCAGTGGGAAGGGGACAAATTCAAGATAACCCTCCAATAATTAGATTCTACACCTGGAAAATTATAACAAATTAATACATTTTCCATACACAGAATCTAATTATTTGGGAGTCATCTTATATTTTATGTTTGATGAAATGCAGTAATTTAAAGCTAACTTGGATATGCCTACACAAGCTGTAGTCACAAAACAGATTGCAGCATAGATTTACTCTTTGATACCATGACAATAGATGCCTCAGAAATACCAGTTAACTGTTTGTATTTTTCATTTTCAGTCTGTTTTGTTTTTAAAGGATTTCCGGTATATCAAGCAATATATACTTACCATGTTACATGGAAAGCTTGTCGACATCCATGTTTATTACATGTCATGCAAGCACCAGTGGCTGCTTTGCTTTCTCTGCCTTGTTCATCACAAATATAGCACGTCTATTAAAAAAAAGTATTCATATGTGACAAAGTACACAAATTATTTTTGTGTTACTAGCAGGAAATATTTTAATGTGGTGTGCTATAAGAGAATTGATTTTTTCAATTTTGTAGGCAAGCTTACTTGAGCACTCCTATAGTCTAATCACAATTTTTTAAAGCAGGTCATCATATAGGCTATTTAAGTTTTCTGTAACACTAATGTATTTTTGATACAACTATACAAACATAAAATAATGTAATAAATCTGCACACCACTTCTGTATCAGTCTAATTTAAAAAATGGGAAAAACTGCAGCAGAGAGACAAAAAAAATTTGCTTAACAGCCAAAGGCCATTATTAAACCTCAGAATTTTCCCAGGTCCCAACCCTATGCTTATTCCGTTAAATCACTCAGTCACTTAAATTTGCTTTTAAGAGTATTACTGGTAGTACTGGGATTTTCCAAAGGAAAAAAAATCTAACAATGTGCCTCAAACCATGAGCAAAGTTCAGTGGCCTTTAACAAAGTTTCAGAATGCAATTAAACACAGTTTCTATTTAAATATTACTCTAAGACAGCACAGTCTGAATAAACATATTGTCAAAAGCTAGTATGGCTGTAACCTTGTTTAAAAACAGTTTCATTTAGGATTCAAAGGCCAGGGAACATGTTAAGATTTAAAACAAATAGTTAGATATCTTAAAACATTGTTACAACATTTCATAAGTGCATGCTATTTACAGGGAGAGCTATGGCAATTTCTATCATTTAAAATTATTAGTTAAGTAGAAAAATGAGAAGAAATAAAGCACAAAATTTATTTTTTCATTATTTCACCATATTTTAGTTGCATTTTTATAAATATATACTAAAATGAATCAGCGTAGACTATGCTACAGCATCTCCTATCGATGATCTGGAGGTTGTAGCTAAAATTACTGCTTTTTTTTTTTTTTAACATAATTTTGGAGGAATGTCAGTTCCTTGAGTTAAAAAGATCATACTGTATCATTTTTATAATATGGTTGAAACCTACTCCATAAACACAAAGCAATTGTCACTGTAGCTTCTTCATGGAAGTACCCTCTGATGTAAGCAGGACAAAAAGAATGCCTATTTATATTAAAACATAAACTTCAAATTTTCACTACCACTTTGTATGGAGCTACCATTTAAAAAACTTGAGATCAGAGGGGAAAGAAAAACAGCTCTGGCTTCTCTTTTTCAAAATCTTCTACCCTTAGTAGCATCCCTGAACAAGAGAAAGGTAAAGGACACTTCATATAGCTTTTACATATGGGCTATCCCCTTCAATGAGACAAAATGGGAATGCATAGGATAGATGGAAAACTTTTATAATCAAAGAAAAGAATACATTTTAAGAAATGTGGATAAGAAAAAAGTAAAACAAAGAGCAAGGAAAAGGATATAAAGTACAAATAAAGAAACATTAAAGTTGATTAAATTAGGTGAAAGACAGAATGGCTTTTTTATGGCCCCGTCTGGACCAGAACTTAAAGTATAACATAATTTTAGGAAAGACATACGAACTACAGTAAAAGCTGCACTATCCGGCACCTTACAAGCTGGCATGCTCTATTAACCAGCATGCCAGCTTGTAAGGGGAAAAGTGAAACCGGAAGTGCCCACTGTGGCACTTCCAATTTCGCTGAGCCCCCACGGCCCAGGGCAAAGCACCCTGCACTACTGAGCCCCCATGGCCCAGGGCATAGCAGCTTGCGTGGGGCCCCCCCTCCCTGTCCCTCGGGGCCCATGGGGCCCACAGGAGGGGCAGCGATGCAGCGGGAGAGGTGGCATGCCCCAGACACGACAGGAGAGGCGGTGGCCTGAACAGGCAAAGACGCCTGTTTGGCCCGCTCAGTTAACTGGCATATTTTGTTATCCAGCACCCCCCATTCCCCATGGGTGCTGGATAACAAAGCTTTCACTGTACAATGTTTTAAAGTCTACTCTAATGTAAATTGCTTGTCCTTTACTAGATTGTCAAAAAGCACTACTTGGCACATGTTAATTAATATCTGCTCAAATCACATATTAGTGAACTAGGGATAATTTTACTTAATTCCTTACCTCACTCAACCTGTATATCAAGATTACAGCCCACACAGTACCAGAGAATACCCACTGTTCCATGCCCTATACACTATCAAAGGATTCAATGCTCAACTATTTAAAAAAGCCAAGTTGCCACCCATGTCTTGAAGTTACTTCTAGTTAAGTTCCTTTCTCCTCTTTGCCCTAAACAGAACATTTCCAAAATAGAACACTAAATTAAACAGAATACATAAAGCACAAGATATGGATGTTATTTTATTACTCTACCACCTCATATTCTCTTACCATACATCTAATTCTTCTTCTTAACTATATCCTGGTAAGAAATGATGCACACATCACATTCGATACTGACGCAACTCCATCTTCCAGGGCTTTGAACTGCTTGCAAGACCTATACCTAAGCACTATTTGCACTTGGTTGTGGCCAACATTTTTAACTCGCACACAAATAAATAAATAAATGTTGTACTCTAGTAAAAATTTACAAAACAACACTGTAGATAAGCTACCAAATTCAAGATAATCCAATTCTCCTTACACCAGCCACAAAGGCCGTGTTCACATGAGTGTGGATGTTTGGTTCCTCAGGGACAACTAGCGGCAGCACACCTGGTGCTGCTGTTAGTTGTCTCTGAGGAACGCCTGTGCCACATGCACTCTGGTGTGCAGCAGGTTACCCTGGGTGGGGCAGGAGAGGCTGGGGCCAACACCGTGCTGGCCCCAGCAGCCTTACCTGGGGTCCTGGAGGCCTTCCAGGGCTGCAGCAGTAGCGATCCTGCCAATTGGAGCCTAGGTGGAAGCACAGCTTCAGAAGGCTCAGGTCTGATTTTGAGCAGCACATGCTTCCCCCATGTGTGCCGATCTGCTCCCCCCTCCCCCCCCCCGTTTTTTTTTTGACGACTAGATATCCAGGGGTTAATCCATGTCCTCCTCCCCCCAGCTGCTCCCTTGCAGCGCAAAGAACACTTGAATGTGCAGCATGTGACACCACAAACGTGTATGTGGCACTACATACTGCATGACCGCACACATTTGGATGTGACCAAAAAGTGTAACAGTAGTCACTGCTTCACCATCTCCATAAACAGAGCTGAAGATGCTACAAATTACTCTTTACCACGTGAGCTAAAAACCAACTTTGAAACGAAATTTCTCCAAATCTCTGTTCTCTTTTGTGGACTGGACTAATATTTCCCACAATTTGGTAAGAGCCCAGGATCCCTTTACAAAAGTATTTTCACTTGATAGACGAGGCCAAGTAATAGATGGACCTTGTTTGATGCTACTGAAGATTTAGGATGCTTCAACTCTGAACAAACCCACAACCAACATCTACAGAAGTGTCAGTAACTTAATATTCACAAGGAAGAAAGAATGCAATTCTTCTCCAATACAGCCCTTCAGTAAGCTTTCTAAATGGGCAACAAACAAAGTGCTTATGTAGGACAAAATTCTCCATTTAAGAAAGATGCTATGTTTTAACAAGGCTGCAAGTATCAGAGACCCTTTACACTGTAAAATGTTAAAACAGCTTGCATTGTTACTTTTGCATATCTGCTAGCATGTCTTTCTCTTTGAAAATTTTCCAAATTTGAATCTTCTACATATGCAGAAATAAAGCTTAAAGGTGAGATGGATGTAAAACAAACCCTGCACGCAAAATATAACTTATAATACTACATTTTCTGTGCAGGATTGCAGAGACCATAACTATATATACAGTCTATATGCCATAAGCCAGAAAGAATTTCTTGTGGTCTCAGTTTCTGCAGAATTTAGTGATTAAGCAAGTTTTCTAGTCCTTACAGTTGAGAAACATTTTATAAACAAACTATTGTATTTACACAAATCCAAGACAACTTCGGATTTACTTCAAATTTAAGAAGACCAACCCTAATAATTAGATTCTATACATGGAATTCTGTTTCATGTAAAGTATCTAATTAGTGGAAGATCATCTTAAATTCATCCCCTCCACTGCTGTGGCACAGAAAGCAGCACCAAGGGATAAGGGGCCAGGCCCCTGTCCCTTAAACTCCTCTCCTGCCCCTTGTCCCCTCCATGCCTGCCTCCCTGCTGCCTATTCCCCTGCCACGTGGCCCCTGCACCTGCCCATGTCTGTGCCTGCCCCACCACTCCATTTTCCCCAACCCCTGCTCCCACCTGCAATCTGCCTTCCTCAACCCGCTGCACCCCTGTAGCCTGTCCCCCCACCTCCTACTGCCCTCTGCAGCCTGGCCCCACCTGAAGCCTGCACCTACCACACCCTGTTCCCCCACACACTCCCTACTCACCCACCCCCCTTTACCTAGTTCTGTAACTCTGTTCCAGATCTGGGCACCCAGCACCAGCAGCAGCTTCATCCAGCCCCAGCCCCAGCCTGGGAAGGAAAAGGGTTGGCAGCTCCCAGGAGGACTTAGGTCAGGGCTGGAGGGACTATAGCCTGAGCAGAAAATAAAGGGAGAAGTGGGAGCTGACAGGGGAGCAAAAGGGAAGAGAGAGGAGGAGAAAGCAGACAAAAGGGGGAGCAGGGTACTGGAGGCAGGCACAAGCACAGGGGCAGAGATGGGGGGGCAGGCTGCAGGTTCCCTCCATGTGGTCTCTCCCAAGCTCCCCCCCAGCCATGAGCCTCCTCCCTGCAAGACGAGCCATTCTGGCCCAGGGCAGGCAGCAGCTCAGCTCTAGCTTCAGCCTCAAACCTGGGCACAAAGCCAGGTCTGAGTCATCAGTACTTGAATCCAAGACAAGGCTCCCCAACACCCCACCATAATGATGGGCGGGAAAATACGCATCTTGGATTTATTGAAATACAGTACTAGCCTATAGCTCATAATAAGGATATAAATTACCACTATTAATCTCAATTAATTTAAACTCCAAACTGCAACAAAAACTGTTTGACAAGGTTCTTTGGGTAAATCTGATATCTTTTATTAA